CGTGATATCCTCCAGGGAGGAATCGATGATCTCATAGTTGTCTGGAAGGCAGTAAAACTTGAGGGTGTGGAGGTTGAGGAAGACATGGTGGCTAAACTGGACACTGTGGATGTAGGCGTGAGACTTCAAACCCCGGCCTGTAAGAAAAGACAAAAGGCTTTAGAGAAAAGGGCATATTCCAGAAAGGCACAGATAGAGTTTGATTTTCCTTTCATTGTTTTGTACTGGAACATGTTAATATTAGCAAAGCAAAGTACTATGCCATCCATGAAACGAATCTCCCACATGAACCTCTCCCATCACAAAAGTTAGCAAGAATAGCACAATAGTTACTTTATTCCCTAGACGGCATAAGACATTGGTTGGGGAAATTAATTTCATATGTATGAATATGAAATATGCATGTGTGGCCCTAGCCGGTTTGGCTCAGTGGATAGAGTGCTGGAATGCGGACTGAAGGGTCCCAGTTCAATTCCAGTCAAGGGCACATGCCCAGGTTGAAGGCTCAATCCCCAGTAAGGGACGTGCAGTAGGCAACCAATCAATGATTCTCATCATTTATGTTTCTATCTCTCCCTTCCTCTCTGAAATCAATATATATTTTTAAAAAAAAGAAATATACATGTGTCAGCATGTGTATATACATACATATGAGTTAATTTCGTATTTTTAAAAATTAGGAAATAAATTTTTTTTAAGTTGGGAATATCTATGTATATATTGACATATAATATATGCGCATACATACATAGATATGCACATATACATATCCTGTGACAGCCCATCATCACTCAGTGCTGACTTTCCCTTTGCCCATAGTCAGGACAATCCTGCACCTAAAGTACCTTTCTTTGTTGTTGGCATTCCTTTCTAGACTATCTCTCCCTCACCTCATTCAAACGTTTAGGTCCTACCAGTTTAATCCCACCTCCACCTCCTTCATAAACTCAACACAAATACTCCAGCTAATAATGATCTCTGTATACTTCAACGCCTGTTGTCCTTATTTATACTCAGTGCCACACAGTTTAGCAGTAATCTTTACAGTCTTATAGAGTTTGCTAATTGTTTTGTATGTTAACCTTGACTGTAAGATCCTTATAAGAGCAAAGAATATTATTTATATTTCTTTTGCATCATCCACTATACTATGTACATAGCATTTGTTTGTTCTGAATGAATTGAAATAACAAATTTCCAGAAAAGAACAGAATGAAAAAGTCCTTAGAGCCAAAGGATTCTCAGAAAAAGACGAAAGTATAGAAAACAACAGAGATTCAAAAATCCAGAGAAGCTGAAATCTCCTACATAGGCTTTCACGTGACTAGCTCTTTCCCTCTTTCATATGGATTTGGGTTCTAACCAATCAGAGAACCTTCTATTGATTATCTGAGTATTCCAATTTCCTGGGAACAAAGATAAGGATTATGAAACCTAACAGCAGCTTAGTTTCTTTTAAAAAAATCTCTCTGGAGCAGACCTGTAGCGAGAGCTGCAAACTTAGTAAGTTTATAATACAAACATTTACTTACCCTGAAAGTACTTGCCACACACCAGACAGGCATATGCATTGATATGCGAGAGGAAGATGGAACACAGTTTCTCAAAGTCGAAGTCCAGCACACTCCTAAGAGAACCAAAACAAACACAAGCAATGAACAGGGTGGAGGTCTAGGACAGCACCCAAGTGAAGCAGCTCCGTGTCCCACAACGTCACCCAGCACCCTGCAGAGGACAGTCCAACAGTCACATGTAAGCCATGGGCACCTATAGTACCCAGCACACAGTGGCGCTCAATAAATATTTAAGTTTGCTACTGTCACTGACACTGCGGATTCCATTATTTCATCACACAAATTCAAAATGAGCTAAAAGCCTAAGCCCACCCTCAAACAAAATGCCCTCTGACACTTTAAATTGAAGAGCAAACATTAGTAAACACGGCAAGAAGCACAATTTTCTGGGCAGAAAGCCTTAAAAGGGATAAAATGTTTGAATGTGTTGGTCAACGTGCATTCCAAAGAACTTCCTACATAGACTGCGTTTTTCTTTTGCTGCTCGTGGCATTGCTGTCCTGCTAACCTGTTAATGGTATCCAGGTATGGGCAGTGGCGGCTCCTCCGGTCCTCAGAATCCACTCGGCCATTCTTTGCTGGAAGGAAAATCATCATAGGGTGTGAGAATTGGAAACCTGTCAAATGCCAGGAAAACAAAGAAACAAATGGGAAAAGCTGATCGGGGTGAGCTCCTATACATGTGGCCTGGCAACACACAAAAAAGCCACTAATGGAGTAAGTCACAAACTGAGAGAATATATTTGAAACAGATATAACAAATGATTTGTTTGCACAAGATTACATAAAGAAATCTGGACCGGCCAGTGTGCTCAGCGGTTGAGTGTTGACCCATGAACCAGGGGGTCAGGGTTCAATTCCCAGCCAGGGCACATGCCCGGTTGGTTTAGGCTTGATCCCCAGTAGGGCGTATGCAGGAGGCAGCTGATCAATGATTTTCTCTCATCGTTGATTTTTTTTTTCTCTCTCTCTCTCTCTCTCCTTCTCCCTTCCTCTCTCTGAAATAAAAACGAAACAAAACATTTTTTTTAAATCTTATGAAAAAAAAAAAAAAAAGATGACCCAATAGAAAATAAGAAATACAGCCCACAAACATATGAAAAGATATACAACTTCATCAATAATCAAGAAAATGCAAATATCCTTGTACATGATACCCCACTTCACACCTACCAGAGGAAAACATAAAAACAGAAAATTCCAAATGTTGGTGACTATGTGAAGCAATGAGCATGCTCACGTGTTGCTGGGAGTGAGAACTGTTACAACCTATTAGAAAATAGTTCAGCAAGATCAAAGCTGAAAATATGCAGACCCTTTGACCCAGCAATCTCCCTCCTATTTATGTGCCATAGAGAATTTCTGCACACATGTACCAGGAGTACTTTACTAAAAAAATTTTACAGCAGCAATGTTTGAAAGTGCCCAAACTGGAAACAACCGAAATATCCACCACAAATAAAATGGAGAAATATATTTTGGTACATCATTAATGGAACACTCTATAGCCATGAATATCTATCTGGATAGCTAGCAAAAAAAAAAAAAAAAAGGCAAATCAGAAGACTACATACAGTGTGATTCCATTTATATCAAATACAAATAAAACACAGTACTACTTAGGGGTACATATATGAGGTAAAAGTATAACTAGTAAAAGCAGAAGGGACCAGAAAACATTCAGAAGTGAATACTGAAGCAAAGAAGGCAGACAACTGGGCAGGGGCCTAGGGGAGCGCCTACGATGCTGGTTGTGTCCCACTTCTTAAGCTGAACAGTGTTAGGGGTCACCTCGTATTTCTGCACATACTGTGACCAGAGGCACCAACAGCTCCAGACTATCTGGTCAAAGATGTTTGCATAGCGAATAGCCTTGGAGGCCAGAGGAGGGGGAGGCAGTCTCACAGCCCCTCATAAAGACGCAGGCTCTCTGGACTCGGGGCTCCTCTGCTGCAGGGCCACCGCGGGCCCACGGGGTTCCCTTCGTGTCGCGCTGTGAGAAGTGACGGGGAAATGACACCAAGGCTACACTCTGCCTACTGTGACCAATGGAATAATACATCGTCTGAGGCCCAACTGTCCCACGTCTTCCTTCAGCAGCCATGAATCTGCCACAGGCGAACTTGGTAGCTTGCAAACAGGGTAAGATCTTAGACTCTTCACAATTTTTTAAATATTCTGTTTACTGACTCCAGAGAGAGGGGGAGATAGAAACATCAATAATGAGCCAGAGCCGTAACCCGTTTGGCTCAGTGGATAGAGCGTCGGCCTGCGGACTGAAAGGTCCCAGGTTCGATTCCGGTCAAGGGCATGTACCTTGGTTGTGGGCACATCCCCAGTGGGGGGTGTGCAGGAGGCAGCTGATCAATGTTTCTCTCTCATCGATGTTTCTAACTCTCTATCTCTCTCCCTTCCTCTCTGTAAAAAATCAATAAAATATATTTTAAAAAAATAAATAATGAGACAGAATCATGAATCGACTGCCTCCTGCACACCCCACACTGGGGATGGAGCCCGAAACCTCGGCATGTGCCCTGACCTGACCAAGTATCCAACCGTGACCTCCTGATTCATGGGTTGATGCTCAACCACTGAGCCCCACCGGTTGGACCACAATCCTTGATACGAGGTAGATTTAAGGCTGTACATCAGCCCTAGCAGGTTGCTCAGTGGATAGAGTGTTGGCCTGCGGACTGAAGGGTCCTGGGTTTGATTCCAGTCAAGAGCATGTACCTTGGTTGTGGGCACATCCCCAGTAGGAGGTGTGCAGGAGGCAGCTGATCGATGTTTCTCTCTCATTGATGTTTCTAACTCTCTATCTCTCTCCCTTCCTCTCTGTAAAAAATCAATAAAATAAATTTTTTTTTTTTTAAAGAGCATACATCAGCCCTGGCGGGTGGCTGGGCTGGTTGGGGTGTCCTCCGGGACACCTAAAAGTTGCGGGCTCGATTCCCCGTCAGGGCACATAACCTAGGTTGCAGGTTTGACTGATCGATCACTGTTTCTCCCTCACATCACTGTTTCTGTTTCTCTTTCTTTCTCTCTCTTCTCTCTCTCTCTCTCTCTCTCTCTCGAGCGAAAACGCGAACCCCACTTTCCCAAACCACAGTGACTCAGAGTCACGATGAGAATCCAGGTCTCCTGGCCGGGATGACAGGCGCAGGTGCCCAGCGTCCAGGCTTTCAACTCTGAATAGTCAGATTCCAGCAATTACAGCAAGACTCGATTCTCAGATGTTTGTAAACACTGACGGTGACTCCTGTAAAATAAGTAACACAACGCCTAGCCCGTGTTGGGCACTCGCTAAAGTAAAGCTGCTACTGTTACTGCTGTTGCTCAGAAATCGTATGACTGTGGTTACCATTCAGGCGACTATCCCTCTTAAGACGCAGGCGAGAGCCGTGCGGCTGACACCGGTGAAGGGGGACTCCCCCCACCCCAGCCCCGGGGAGGAACGGCTGGAAAGGGAAGAGGAGAACGCGGGAGTGGAGCCCGAGCCCGGCCGGCCCCGCGCACCTCGCACCTCCCGCTCAGGCTCGGAGTCTTCGT